TATATCTTGGCACGAGCATACACGCCACTCCTATGGCAACTCACTAAACTGCTTTAATAAAGCAACTAATTTTATACGCACAGGGTGTAAAAGGGTGTGCTTTCCAGCATGCCATTAATTATAATTCAACTGTTAAGAAGAGTCATTTGTGCTTTTGAAACAGGTTTGATGCCTCAAACCTAATTTCTTATCCTCAAGTACAACAAGTACAACTTGTAAAGTTTTTTTTTAAATTTAAAGAAATATTTGTGACTTGAGAGAGCTGAAATTTCACCTTTCTGCCTCATTTAATATGCACAGAAAAATCAGTACACAAACAAATCCCTAACTGCTACTTCCCCACTGCAACATGCAAAATATTTATTAAAAACTGACTCTGACAAATTGGTTAATATATTCATGTCAGACAGGTTAGACTACTCTAACGCTCTATATGCAGGTTCTTATCGTCAGGTTGACTTCAACTTGTTCTGAGTGCAGAGCCCAGGGTCCTTACACATACGTGGAAATAGGAACATATGACCCCAGACCTGAAATCACTAAAGAATTACCTTCTTTTCATTTTAAAATTTGCATAGCTTTGAACCTGCTTAATATAGAAGAATTGTTGAGACATATTTCAGCACGTCAGGGCCCCATGACTGTTCACAATCGTTTTCTTTTTTGTGTGTGTCCAGAAAATACCACGATTCTGATCTTGTAGCCTTCAACATTGTCTCTCCTCAGCCCATCAGGCTGGATGCTTTAGTGCTCACGAGTAACTGTGTGTTTTAAAAAGCTCCATACACAGAAAGTTGCTATTATGAGGAAACTGCTTTGTTAATATAAGGAGAAAGAATGAGGACACCCAGGAAAACAGTAAGGGTACCAGATGGGGGGAAAGAAAGTAGCGTAAGTCTTTGACTGCTAACGATGCTTTACCAGTGTTAGATAAGCCTTGTTCTTGTTCTCCAGTTAGGTCAGTTCCACAAGTTCAAAGCATTTGTTCGTTATTTGTTAAATGAGAAACCCTGGCAGTTGGTGGTAATGCTTTTGAGACTCTTATCAGTTTGAACTGTTTGTGTAAGATGTCAAACCAACCAATGTAAGTACGTTCCCAACTTCACTCACCAAACTGGTCTGGAGGTCTGACTGGAATACTTCTCAAACTCACCCGGGGCCGTCCATTCTTTTCCCGTCTAGGAAATGAAAATTAAACACTGAAGGAAATGTTACAAAGACTAGTATGAGAAATTTACCCCGGAACACTTGAGATGACAAAATGCATACCATTCCAACCCACGCAATTAACTTCAAATTAAGGGGAGAGTCATCTGTGCTCAGCCAGAATTCAGAGTTGTCGTCAGAGCTCACAGCAAACACAAAATCTCCTGAGACAAAAGAAGAGGAAATGAGATAAATGAATGAAGAGACAGACTGAGTCTGTATAGCATAACATACACGTGTTACATGCTGAAAATACACAAAGTGAAAAAGTACCATCAGTATGTGGATGAAGATAGCCAAATATTCTGAGCCCATAGTTGGTCCACTGAGGAGAGACGGCCAGCTTCTCCACTGTGGTTCTGGACTAAAGGAGTAATGAAAGACAAAGAAAATCAGCAATGATTTGATGTCAAAGTGATGGTGCATTCCCGAATAAGTCAGAATTTTTGAGTTCCCAGTCGACTTTGAATCTGGAACGCTTCCTTACCTCGGTTTTAACACTCAGACCAGTCAGAGTCGGAACAGCCTAACCAACCCCAAGTTAACAATCCAAGTAGTAAAATCCAGTAGTAAAACTGTAAAACTTCATTTGTACTGCCACTGCTGTGTATCTGTGACTTATTAAATCACTTAGTACTGACTAGACTCTGCATGAACGTGCAGCAGACATGTTTTTAAGCATGAAAAGTATTGCTCTGGTGTGCTAGTGAGTCCCGAATGTCGCTTTTCCTGTAATGCACTAACCTGAGATTGACATTACTCCCGAGTGCCGAGGTATCTGAACCATGGCATGAACTCAGGAACGTGAAAATCTGGCATGAAGACGTATAATGTACCACTGAGTAAAACCAACTGTGCGTGTGTGAGAGTGTGTGCACGAGTGCCTTCTTTCACATCCAACCACAAATACTTACATGCAAGAGGAGGTGATATCTATGGGTTATCTGAGTTTGGTGGTATTCTCTGGTGACAATCTTCTGCCTATGCTTCTACTACTTTTATACTTTTACACATAAAACGTGAAAGAAATAAAAAAACTTTTTTTTAATGAAGTTTTACTAGGAATATAACATCACACATACTGGGCAGTTTTCTGCAAAACCAGTATAATATGACAATGAGAAAGGACTCAGTACTAACATAATTATATATAGCAGGAATAATGTTTACTATGTTCACCTGTTACATTTGGCATGTTAGCATCCTAGTACAGTTATTGCAAATTACCATTTTTAGCCTGGCTGGAATGCTATTTGGTTTTCATATATTTGGTCACACAATGGCCACAGTGGCTAAAAATGTAAATCATCAGTTAAGCAAGATTAATGAATAACCATATTCTAACCATTAATAAAACGAGTTTTATTAAGAAATGGGTTTTTTTCGCCAACATGTTTAATGATTCCTTGTAAACTGTGCTTGTGCTCTTGTGAATGATTCCTCTTCTGAGGTTTGTCTAATCTAGTTTAAGATTGTCTGACTCAGTGAAGGTTTACATTTGACTGTGACAACTGAGAAGTTGGGCATTTTGACTCACATGAGGGTAAAGCGGGTAATGCAGGTTTTTGCGAAGATCGGCCGTTGAACTGCCACACCAGTCCTCAAACACATGCAGATTGGCCTGTCCCTTAAACTGCAACACAGGAGAGTGACAGTGACTTTAACACAGAACTTGTATGTTTACTGTATTTAAAGGCACAGAAGTTGGAGCAACAGTCTAAATCACTTTTCTCATTTGCAGTTCAAATGCTCAGTGAAAGTCAATAAGAAACACTGGAACACGAACATGTAAATGAAGAAGCAGCTGAGTTTCAGTAGATGCACAGATGTCCTGTAAACATATACCTCTGTGATATCTGCCAAAGAGGCCATGTTATCTGATCTGTGTGTGAGTGTGTGTTTGAGTGTGTGAGTGAGTGTGTGTTGGTTTCGCCAAAGGGACATAACAGTGCAGATCGGAGCCAAATGTAGCCAAGCAGCTCATCAGATTTCAGTAGTGGTCAGGCTAGTTGGTTAAATATTAGCATGACTGAAGCTCACAAGTTTACACAAAATGCCGTAAAATGATGACTGAGAGTGTAGCTTGTAATCATTTAAGGAGATTCTTACTCAAAATCAAAAGGCGGTGAGTTTAAGGAGCCCTTTTGTTGTAAAGCTCAATTTGCTTCTGCTAAAACTTTATTTTTCAATAACTAGCCTGCTACGTGTGGCGCTTCATCAAAGCATTTTTGAGCTTTGTTAATTCTCCGAGACATTAGCCTAGTTTTACATCGTTTTTCACAGCAAAATTACTTATAACTCAATAATAACATTTTGTAAAAAAACTTATCAACCTCTTCCTTGACAAAAAACACAAAACTATAGACAAATCTACTACAGGGGCATACAGTGTGCACAAAATCATGTAAAACTGAGGAATACTGACTGTAGAACTAATAAAGACATTGATATCAAAAGGGTTTTTTTTCTCAAAGCAGATACGTGACACTTGTTTGTTGTTGGGTACATGTGGCTTTCCTTTCACTTGACTGTACATTAAAAACCCCAAAGTGAGTCAGTTTATCAAGAAAGATTTCAGCAAATTAACAGGAAAGTAAGTCATAGTTAGATGGAATAAAATTACAGGTATTTCATCAAAACTAACAAAAAATGTTTTATGGATAAATATATTTTATATGCAGTGGTTAGTATTTGCATTTCATCTACAAAACTGAAAATTAAGGTTCTTTTTTTGTTTTTCTCTTTGCATGATTTCTGCAACTTTTGTTCTTGCTCTTTATCAGCGCACCTGATCAGGACCCAAAGAAGATGTATACTAATATTGTGCTGTAAATTGTGTGTAAATCATTGGCTTCTTAAAAGGGTGCAGCTATGTAGCAATCTATGCATGTCTGCAGACTTTTCTGTTGGTTGTTTTTTACATTTCAATATCTGCTTAGGCTGGTTTCCTCTTATCCTCCTATGTTCCTCGCCTGTGCTGTCTCAACCCTTGTGATATTTTCCAAATGTTTGTCCCCAGAGTGACAATAGAAGTGAGAAAAACACTTTAAAATATGTGGCCAACCCCCCGATTACCAGTGAGACATTAAGTTGATAATAAAGAAGAAAAATGTACCCTTGGTCAGTGTGAATGCTCTTAAATTTGTTAGAAACTGCACCTTTTTTGTTCCTGATTTGTTATTGTGGATGATTTGTAAACTGTGTATCTATAATAGAATCTCTGATGCCCTGTTTGCTAGGTCTGTCTGTTTAATCATGCAATACTGCTGTTGAAATAGGCAACACTGGCTCAAAACAAAAACATAAACAGGAACCGGTTACACCTGACATGAAATATTCGAAACATTAACACAAAGCAGGGAAGCTTCTGAAATGGAGTCACACTATAAACGGAGGGACTGAGGGAGGGGGAGGCCACTGGGCCACTAGGTATGGGCAAGCGCACACACCTCTGGTTTCCAAGGTTGTGGAGCATAACTGGAGACCCAAGCACTGCTGTCCCCAACAGTGTTTGGCTGATGGTCCTTTTTTGCCTGTAAAAACAAATATTAAACTTGGTTTAGCTTTGGTTTCCTTTCTGAAAAAACAAACACTCTCGGGTGCCATCCTTACCCTATTTTCAAACACGTCTCTCCTCCAGCTGACGTGGTCAGCGTCAGTAATTGAACCTGAGGATATAGGTGAAGACAATAGTCAACATGGTCACATCATCTCTGTGAAAGTGGTTATTTTAAAGTGACTTGAGGCTTCCCCAGTAGGTGCACATCCAATCAAAATGCATTCTAAACAAAAAAATCCCAATCTGCTTCTTACAACTTGTGACATAAAAGAAACTCTATCTGGGTTGCATATGAGGAGCGGTAGGCACGCTACACGTCCATGCATAAATGATAAACTCTGCCCATGCATTGCACACAACAATCAGGCCCGGTGTCTAAGCAGAGTCTCACTGCTCATAGCCCCTGAACATAGCTCATCTTAGTGACAGGCTTCAAAGAGCTGCTATGGCATAGGGCTCCCGCGTTGGCAAACATCTCTGGCGCTCTGGCAGAGCAGATGCTCAAATATTATTCCTGCTGACTTCTTCCATCATCCTTCAAATTACAGGACAGGGTGTATTTTAAAACAGGACCTATTTGTCTGTCTTTCTTTTCTTTTTTTACGACCATGTGGTGTCAGCAGTGAACTGGAGTTACTGCAGTGATGGTCTGTCATTATCGCCAGGGTGGAGATCTCCTAACACACACCCTTGTGACATACGTTCCAATTTTAGCAGCACAAGTAATTCTAGAGCCGTGGATAAGGAAAGCAACAGTGGAGTACTTTTCATCTCTATGTGCACTCCTCTCCTCTTCTTACTAAACCTTCCCTGTCATGTTTTTTTCTACTTTCCGTGGAATGTATTGCGAAATTTACTGTCAGGGTGGACACTTCAGGTGATAAGAAGGATGCAGCAGGGTTTCACTAGCTTTCTGCGTCCATATGTGGCAGGAAAACAATTTTTTTTTAAAAATCTCTTGTCACATTGTTGCTGTTTTAGTGTTTTTTTTTCTGTCCACTTTGGACACAACATACCAGTTTAGCAGTCCTACTCTTCTTATTCTGTCAAAAAAATGTTGCTAACAGACATTTAGTTAAAGTGTTGAATAAAAGGGAGAGGCTGTGTGATAACATGTAAAACAGAATATAATCAAATATATCATTTACAACATTTAAAAAAAAAAGCTTCATTTGCATGTTTTAGCATGCAAATTAAGTGTCCACAGTATTCTTTGGATTATGTGCTTGAAGTTTTAGTGTTAAGAAGGTTTACAACAGGATTTTTTTTTAAACTGTTTGTGAGATGCATAGATTTTTATACAGCAAGTTTTAAAAGCAATGTGTCAAATGGATGCATAATATTTCTTGAGCTTCTGTGTTGTTTCAGCTTGAACTCATACACCGAGAGTTAAACGTTGCCTTTTTAACTGAAGTGGAACTGGCTCTGAAAATGAGAGGTAAGAGGTGACCGGCAGATTCTTTGGAAGATGAAGGGGGGGGGAAAAAAATGACTGTGCAGTAAATTTCCAGGATGTAGGCGTACATTTTTCTTTGCAAAGAGGAAAAAAAAACTTCACTACCAAAACCTCAGACAACTCACCACAAGAGGCAAACCGCTGGTAAGCCTCAAAAAGCATGAAAGCTTACTTGCAGTTGTTTTAAAAAAAAAAAGTGGAAACAAGCGGAGGTGTAACGCTGTGTTCTATGTTAACTATGCAGAAAACTGGAATCAACCAAACGTGGTAACTGAGCAGTTATGGTTTACTGAAAGCAGTACCTTTGCACACGAGATGATTTGTCTCCTGATAGATGCCCTGAATGCACAATATATAAAAACCAAAATCCTATAAGCAAACAAAGAGTTGCTGTAAAGTGTTGCAATGTCCCCAAGTTGCCAAATATATCTCCTGATCCCAATTAAGCTCAGCATACGGTCCACTTTCTGTAAACCATAGCCAAAGGCAGATCAAGAAGTGAAGGTGGCGGCAACAATAGCCTGGGACAGCGTCTCCAAGGTGGAGATGGTGTGTGTGTCGATGAGTATGGATCAAAGATCAAAGATCAGGAAGTCATATCTTGAGATGGATGTTTCTTGACCTCTGGGTCACATCTTTTAATCTTTTAATTCAGGGTTTTTAGTCCCATTATTACATGTGTATAAAACCAAGCATCCAGCTATGCTTTCTGCCTTTTGCAAACATTTGTGATACAGTAGGTCTTTCTAGTGCTCAGTGAATTTAAGCTTGGTCTTGTAATAAGATGCCTCCACTGCCCCAACTCAGCTTATGACATGTTTTACCTCTCAGATCTTCCACCATCAGCTGTGAGTGGTATTGCTGCAAAGTGGAAGTGTTTAAGAACCACAGAAACTCAACCATGAAGTAGCAGACTACATAAACTTACAGAATGGGATCACCGAGGTGTATAGAGCCACCGACGCTTCGCTGACTCATTAGCTGCTGAGTATCAAAGCTCCTCTGGCATTAACATCAGCTTCGTACGTAGAATGTGTTTGCATGGCTGAACAGCTACTGTAGGTGTAATGTGTAGGTGCCCCAGTACTTTTGTCTATATTGTGTATTTACCTCAAATAAGAAAGCTTGAAACCTTTGAACAACGTGCACAATTTTCACAGAGGAAATCCAACAGAATGTCTTTGATCCACTTGTGCTTGACATCTTGGATTTTATGACAAAGATTTTTTTTTTCCGGTAACATTTCTAAAAACGTGCCTCAGAAAGGTTTTTATAAGGACCTTTGTGGTGTAGTTTTACAGAATAATAAAGCCAAATGGTAGCTACCAAAGTGGCTGTGAGGTCATGTCTTTGTACTCCCGCAAAGGGGCTTCCATATAAAGTTGGACAGGTGGACAGATCGATCTAAATATCGATACTAACCCTGATATTGGTATTGGATCAATACTAGCACGACAGGATCGATACTATGTGTCTAGCCTCTAAGTTCAATATGCAGCCCACTGAATTGTGTTAATAATTTTTTGGGAAAGGAAAAATATACCTCCCACATGCACGATGAAAGAGGAACCTTTTTGTGTTGACTGTCATGTCTATTTTATTTGTAGCCTCTTGCAAAAAGTAAAGTGCCATTCAAATCTCAAAAAGTACCAATATTTACTTTAGGGGCACATTCACATTCCAGGTCTCAAAAAACAAACAAACCCCAAAAACCAACCCAGTTTCAAAATACATAAAAATCTGAAATGTGTGTGCTGTTGTGTTAAATTATTGTGGACAGTAAAAATCACAGTGATTTAGGGGCTCATTAAAATGTGTTCAGAATTCGGCAAGTGACGATGATTCGTCTTATAAATCATGACACACTGCTCCCCCTTACACAAGCTGTCTTTAGAAGTTAAAAATATCAGTGTCGGTATTGGTATCGGCAGTACTGTGTTTACTTGGTATTGGATTGATGCCACAATTTGCATTATCACACAGCACTTCTTCCCCAGTCCAAGCATACAATGTATAAATCAAACAATTTTGTAGTATTTCCCAATAAGGGCTCCTGCTGTGTGGAAAAATGCCATTTTTAAAAATATTGTTTTGTTTTCGCTTACAGATATATATCACACAAAGCTGGACTAGAAGCCTTAACTGAGGCCTATGCTCTTCAAGCTATTTAATTAAATAAGTCACTTGACCTTGCATGTGGTCATTGTGTATTAAAGGATCTTTGTCTGCATCACAATTTTTTTTCTGTGTGTGTGTAAATGTCAACCAAATTAATTGGATAATAAATTGCACATTATGAGTTTAACTACTAGTTCTCGACTTTTACCAAAGGGTTATTAAAAATCTAGGCCAAGTGTCCATTGCATGGAATTATCACATATAAGTCATGCACACAATGGCCATCTTTATTCTGCTGGGCCAGTTATTAACTGCTTTACTGCAGCAAACATTATCTACGTTGTTAGTTGTAGTGCTCATATGATCTCAGAAAAAAAAGCCCGTCCCATAAAAACTGCACATCTCAAGTCCTGTTTGTCTAGCTTAAAGGTGATTAACCTGAGTGAGTGAGTAACCTGCTGCACAAATAAAAGATCTGCATGTGAAGTTTCCTGATGACTTACGCACTTCCTTTAATTCACCTTGATGCACGTTTCTCCACCAAGGTGATCTCTGCAAAAACTGCAAAAGCAAATTTCACGAATGCAGTGGTGATGGGTGAGGGGGGAGAATACATTAATTGCAGGTGTAGATCGGGCATGCATTCTTAAAAAGGTGGGAAATAAAACGGACCTTAGGTGATTATATTTTCCCAAAAGGTAGAAAAAAAACAGAGTTGTGGGGGAGTCGTAAACCGCATTTAGGGTAAAAAGAAATTGGACTTGTGAGAAGTCGTTCTTAATGAAAGTGTGTGTGAACAGATTATGACCCATTAAAGATATAAAGTGCTGCTCTGACCCACAAAGTGTACTCTAGGATAGCACATTTTAAACCTCAGTGAATTCCACATGAAGAAGACATTTCTGCATAGCTCCAAAAGTGCAATTCAAGCTGCTGGCGAGCCATGCAAATCACTCAACAAGCACACTTTAAAACAGCAGCCATATGGCATCACGAATAGGCACAACATCCCCATAGTGGACCTCATTTTGACCCTCAATACAAGGTTCTAAAAACTCTTAATAAATATCATTTTTAATTGCTGTTGGTTCTTTCTCTTGTAATTATGTAACAGACTGACTTGAATTATGTGTTTTGGGCTTTTTTTATGTGAGCCATGACACATTTTGTTCACTCAAAGTCATGTACATGTATGTTATAACAATCAAGTTACAACATTTTTAAAAACGTCTGTCTTGTCTTATGAACTGTGTAAAAGAAAGGGGGGAAAAGAAACCTCATACTGACCACTTGCAACTGAAGTCATGTGCTTAACTGCACCTGCCAATTATTTATCCATGTTAGGATTTTAATACAGCTCTGTTTGAAGAGCTTTGTGGAGTCCTTCTCTCAATAGAAGCCCCACTGTGGCCGGGGGGCTTCAGCCCAGGAATGTGTGCACATATAGGCGAGCCCTCTAATGTAGATCTAGGCATGTGTTTACATGCTGATGCTGTGCTCAGACTGAGCGTGTCATATGTTTCTGTTTCTCTCAACAACCCCACTGTTGTTTCCTTTCATCTGTTTTGTGCTGTGTGTGTGTGTATGTGTGCTGCGACAGACGGTAAGGCAACGTGTGAGGGTAGAAAGCAGGAAATCTGGTTACCCAGTGTGAGACTAGATTTCCTTCTGAGTGTAAACCTACTATGTGACCTCCTGACCTCCCCAACCCCCTTCTTACTGTCTTTCTTTCCCTAAATCAACCTGCTGTTTCACCTGCTGAAGGCTCAAGTTTCCTGAGGAAATGCATCCAACATCATGAAAGCTAAAGCAGATGTTAGATGTGAAAACTTGTTTAAAATGCACATGCATTCAAATCTTTCATGCAAATAAACAAATCTTTTGCGACTTCGTTTTCTGACTTCCAACTTCACATAATAAAAAATTGTTTTTGGTGATGACTCATTTTTACAGTGGCCTTAGCAGTATGTCATGTTTGTGTTTCCTTATTTTTGTAAATGATGTGGACTGTTCAACACCACAGTGCCATGGAAATGTGTGATACGTGACAAATAGCTTATATCATGCACGTTCAAATGCGTAATACAGTCCAAACCTTTTTACTTTTGTTCGGCTATATTTCTCTCCCCCCCTCCCTCCCGCATGCGCATGTTCACTTGCTATCGCTACTGCATAATTATCATAAATAGAAACTCCGTCTGAATGGTGCATCAGCAAAGGTTTGAGTGACACTGTGAGTAGCAGTGCGCGTACTGGAAATCATAAACCATAAACTTACTCATATCACTCCTCCATTCTTTTGCAGCAACCATCTCGTGGTACACGGCCACCAATCCCGCCAGCAGGATCGCACCGAACAGGAGATATTTGCCATTTCGCCGCAGTTTCTTCAAGGGGAAAAACGACGTGATCATTTTGACTCCCGGGGGAAACTTGCTCCCGAGTTCCTCACCCGCTTTGTCATGAGTAGGGGACGGAACGCGCCCTGAGCACGTCCGCCTGCCGCCCACCGCTGCTCCCGGTGGATGCGCACTATCACCGGCACCCTGGATATCCCCAGCGCTCGGGTCCCCTGGTGCCTCTCATCCGGAGAAAAATCCCACCTTGCCCTGGGCCAGCCGGTGACCTACACTGGGCACTCTCGATCATCTAAAACTTTTAAGATGATCGAGGAACTTTTATTGCTCCTTGAGCGCCCGGCTTGAGACCTGACCTCTGTTCCTGCTAGTACCACATGAAGCGCACGCAGCTCGGTACAAAGAACTCAGCAAGGAATGAAATCTTCACCTCCCCTCCCCTCACCATCCTCCACACAATTTAAAGAAGCCAGATGGAAGGAGCTAGTAAGCGGCCAGAAAAGAACCAGCTTTGCCGTCAACGTAAAAGCACGATCGTGATCATGTGAAAGAAAAATGAATACTTGATCGGCGAATACTCGCACAAATATGGCAAAATTACTTCAGCGCAAAGTTTCATCAACGTGAAATATAATGATATATTTTATTTCCTATAACGAAACGTTTTCTTTTCTTTCCGAGCTCCCCAGGTCACAACTTTTCCACGCTTGTGATTTATTTTGAAATCTGAAACAGGAAACACTCTTTAGTATTTTAGCTAGCTCGACGTTACACACCGCTGAGATTAAAGGGAGGAGTAAACACGTTCAGCGACACACACACACACACACACACACACCCTTTACCCTGGGATTTACCTGCAACAGGTATAGCAACAAATACTTCCTGGATTTTGTTGCCTTTCGAGATTTTTCCTACGTTTTACACGTAACATGTATTCGTATGTTACAATTACACATTTGTAATAAAGTTAGACAACGTAAAAATTGTCTTCAAATCTAAAAAGCAAAACAAAAAAATTGTTGCCAGACTTTAAGGGTGCGTGTGACTTTTCTGAATAACAAACACGCCTAAGAAACAATATTACCAATGCTTTAACAGCCACCATGACTAATCCAAAGTGCTATTCAGTGGATGTATGGGATCATTAAGGGATAATGGTTAAGACTATAAACAAATAAAAAGTAAAAGGGTTTTTTCCCTATTGAATTAAAATTGTTTATTTTTTTTACATTTATTTATATCCAGTGTTGCCTCCATCTGTTCATAATCGTAGACATGATCAAAAATGCCAGTGGCTATATGGATTATTTAACCACTCTGATACTGTATGTCTTTTATCAAGAGCAGCAAATAAAAGAACAAAGGGCTCATGGCATAGGGAACACAAAAGCAAGCAGACCCTCCCAGGTAAGCGCGATCCCCACACCTGTCTGCCTTTAAAATGCTCAGTCACTAAAAGGAGATCTTCTCAGAAGAAATGTCTGTAAAAAGTTAAACACTGTAAAGAAAAATTTTTTTTAATACTTTTGACTTCTGTGGAGAATAAGCAGTACTGGGTCATAACTACCCCAGAGGGAGAGAAAGCACATCTGTAAGCTGAGTGAGAGAGCTTGAGGATCAGATAAACACCCCTTCCTCCTTAAGACAAGGCCTCCTGACTGTCACAGGTGCAAGCTCGGTAGTTTTAATTTTCAAAATACACACAACACTGGTATTTTTGCACAGAGATTTTAATATTCCTCCCATAAAGATGGAGAGTAAACAGCTTAGTTAACCTTATGTTTCATTAAAGCACAATATGAAACAATAATAATAAAAAAAAAAATTTAAAAAAATGCATTTACCGTCCCACCCCATCACATCTTTTTGCAGTAGCTTACTTTATGTGACAGACAGTGCAAACACCAAATTCAGTTAACTTGCAATGCAAATATTACAAATCAAACTTATTACAGGTTAAATGGCTATCATCAACTCGTATAACCTTTAAACATTTAAAATCAGGTCAATTTAATTTTGCTTAACGTATAAACAAATTCCTCATCATAGAGCACAAGTCCAGCTGAGGAATCGCCCTCCTCGTGTGACACTGTCAGCAGATTCTTTATTTTGCACACTTTGTGTCGATGGATACATCACAGGTTCTCAAGTTCCTCACGTGACCAACAAAAAGTGGGAGGAAATGCATGTACAAGTCAAAAATATCACACGCAGCTGAGTTGTATCCATTTGTTTATTAAATCCTTCTGTCAGGACAGAACAAGCAGTGACTTTTCCCCCCCCAACAAAGATGAGCTGTACATACAACCCACAGCCATGTTTTCAAAAAACCAGGCCTCTCATTTGGTTTTTCATCCCTTTCCTGCAGGCACTGCTGACTAAAATGAATAAAGGTTCATTTAATCCTCTCGTGTACAGTCTAAACCTGAATCTGACAAGCCAAATATGTACACTTTCATACAAGTACTTTTTTACAGTAAATTAAGACTTAACTGCTTAATACTCGAGGGCATCCAGGAGAAGCTAATTCAGGTAGTTTCTACTGTAGCTGCTTTAAAAATGCACATATTCCAGTTAAGTAAACTGTTGTATTTGTAGTTTTGAGAACAATACAGAATCACAAGCACAACACTAGGAAATAAAAAGTACAAAAAATCATTTCCAAAGCAGAAGGTGAACAGTCCTGTACCCTAGGGGTTAAAAGTGAACTCCATTTTAAACTGAGAGAAAAGCTCCAAGTCTGACAGCTATTTCACACCAACATCTTATTACTCCACCTATCCACAGTGCTGCTACATACATACTTTGGGACATAGGCACTAACATTGAAAACACAGTGGATCTATGCACACAGCCATCACAACTCTAGGAATTGATCAGTAGGCCCATGAGGAGGCTCGGATGGACAGCAAAAAACATGGGGTGGGTCATACAGAAGGTAGTGCAAGGTGGGGAATGGTCTAGCCCTTGACGGGTGAAGGTTCTGAAATTCAGCACTTAACATTTTGGATGCAATCCCCCCC